CCACGGCACGTCAGGAGGCATCTTTACGAACTGACAGACGAAGTCCAGAGGTATATTAAACAACCTCTGGACCCGACAACCTACCGACAGGCCCTCAACGGCATTCACAGGGAATCAGTCTCAAGTTATGTAGACTCCCGCCCTGTGAATGCCGTTCTAGGCACACAACCACCGGACGTGGACGGGACAGAACTTTGTCTGCCTCGGGAGACCCGCACAACAATAGCCCAACTTCGCTCTGGCTATTGCAGCAGGCTCAACAGCTACCTGAGCAGAATCAACGAGGATGTGCCCAACCAATGCCCGGCATGTGGAGAGTCGCCACATGACTCCCGGCACCTCTTCACATGCCCTGAGAATCCCACTCAGCTAACGCCCCTGTCCCTATGGACAGCCCCTGTGGAAGTCGCACACTTCCTGGGCCTCCCCTTAGCTGAAATAGACGACAACGATGATGGATGAACCGTCCCGAACGGGGCTTAGTAGCCGCTACAACAACAACAACAACAACCATTCCAAATGCCTATCCAATTACCGATACTAACCAAATTTTAGCACGACTAAAGTCAGCTAAATACCTAACCAGTATTGATCTGTCTCAAGCTTTCATTCAAATTCCTTTGGCAAAATCGAGTCAACTGAAAACCGCTTTTGCATTCGGTAACAGACTTTATGCTTTTCGTCGCATGACGGTGGGGTTGAGAAATTCCCCCGCCACATTAACCATTCTCATTGATAAAATTTTCCGTGATTTGGTTACACATGCATTCGTATATGTGGATGATTTCATAATATGCACTTCGACGTTTGAAGAACACGTTAAGATATTGGCTATTGTTGCAAAACTTCTGGCTGGGGCCAAATCGAATTTTTGTTGTAAACGATTGGAATTCCTGGGTTACGTTTTGTCTCAAGAGGGTCTATCTGCGAATCCATCTCTTTTTCGAGCTATTGTTGAATTTGCACGGCCCAAAGCGGCAAAAGAAGTCAGACGGTTCGTTGGTGCAGCAAGCTGGTACCGTAAATTTGTTCCAAATTTTTCGGAGATCACAGCTCCCCTTTGTGAGTTGTATAAAGGAAACCGAAAAGGACCCATTGAATGGAATACCGCTGCTGAACAAGCCTTTGTCAAACTCAAAGAGTGTTTAACTCCCGTTCTGACTATGGCCGATTATTCAAGGTTTATACCGATGCCTCGCTTTTCGCAGCGGGTGCTGTTCTAGTACAAGAACATGATGGGAATGAACGTGTGGTTCAGTATTTTTCTAAGAAATTCTCGAAAGCCGAACAAATTTACACAGCATCTGAACGGGAATGCCTAGCCGTTCTCTTAGCGGTCGAAAAGTTCCGTCCATATTTTGAGGGTCGTGAATTGGTTGTGGTAACGGACCATGCAGCTTTGCGCTGGCTACAAACTCTCAAAGAACCAACTGGCCGTTTATGCTGTTGGGCGATCCAATTATCACCATACGATCTCAAAATTATTCATAAACCAGGAAAACATTTAGAACTTCGTTCGTAGAAATCCAATTGACCTTCCGAGTAATTTTTACGTTAATCGTAGAAATCCAATTGACCTTCCGAGTAATTTTTACGTTAATCGTACCCCAATCCGTGATCAACATTGACCCAAACACGTGCGATAAATGGTACAACATAATGCATGCCATGGCCTCAAAACAACCATTAGATAGATATAAAATCGATCGATCGATTGAAATTTTCCAATCAAAGTGCGGAAATACTGTGGACACTTTGTGTACCATCTTCTGACAGAGCAAAAGTCCTCGATGAAAATCATAACCAACATTCGCATCAGGGTGTTTGGAAAACTTATAGACGTATCTCACAACGCTATTACTGGCCAAACATGTATGAGTCCGTTTACCAGTACGTTCGGCAATGTGAACTATGCCACCGCATTAAACCAAGTAATGAGAGCACCAAAACACCTCACGGCGAATATAGAGAACCAAAACGACCGGGTAGGCAATTATCGATTGACTTCGTCGGTAAGCTGCCCATGTCTAAAAATCATAACCAATGGATCTTCGTAGCCATCGACTGTAACTCGCGATATGTACGGGCGCAGCCAATGAAAAACGCAAACACCATATCCGTAGTCAATTATCTTCGACATATATTCACGGTGAATGGCTGCCCGAACTCATTATATCAGATAATGGTACTCAATTCATCAGTCAAACTTTCGCAAAGCTTTGCGCCAATTATAATATCAAACACATGAAAACGCCTTTGTACCATCCACAAGCCAATCAGGTAGAGGCGACAAACAAAAGCATTAAACTTGGACTACGTGCTCACATGGCTGATCTTCTTGAACATTCCTCCTGGGAAAACTATCTTTCTCGTGTTATTCATGATATTAACACCTCAGTGCATTCAGCCACGGCCTCCACGCCATATTTCCTACACACCGGTCGTGAATATGTGAAAGATGGAAACGAATATAAATTATTATTGGATGTAAATCCGTACCATACCCAGGAGGTGGAACAACGTAAAGTTCTCGCTGATGAAGTTCGGGACAAACAGTTCGAACAATATCAACAAACCGCACAACGGGCATTGACCCACCATTTCGAGATAGGCTCGGAAGGATACATTCCCAATCCTAAACAGTTCGTGGCCGGAGAGCGCTATGCACAAAAACTGGCCCCACCAAAAATTAGAGCCTATGTTTCACGGAAACTTGGTTCGAATTCATATGAACTGATCGATCATATGAACTGATCGATGCTAAACACCGAGTGCTTGGCAATTATTCCGCCGATTTAATCACAACACGTTAACTCATTCAGTACATTCGCCTTCTCAAGAATTTCGATGAATATATGGCGGGCCTCCATATTCCATTGATTCTGCCATATTGAAATAATAATTACGTTTGTAAATGAAATGAATTACTGAATAAATTAATTAAGTTTAGTTTTGTTATATCCATAGTTTGTTATATTATATCCTCAGTACATTGCTAGTAAATCGATCAAAGCAAACAAGAAAAGATTCATAACCAAATTATTTACCAATGCCTTTAATCTACCGTAGCTTACGTAATGCGTACTGAAACTAAATAGGAAAGACGGAACATGTGTACATACATATGCGCTCAAAGGCGAACTGAACGAGTCAGGATGGGGTTGATGAAGATCATGTAGAACGATTTCGATGTAAGGTCTAACGTCCATCAAACCACAGCCCGCGAATCGCATTCGAACCACCATTCTCAATCGGTGGTCACATACCACGAGGCTAGAAAAATATTTTTCCTTTTTGGAATTGGACACGGACCGAACAACACACATCAGCCCTCGCAAGAACGGAAGTAATCCTAACCAAGCAATTTATCAAAGCTGACGACATTCGTTTGGTTAAAGTCAATCCTCAGAGTGCGCATACTTGGGGAATATACTTATCGGCATTGTTCCACCACATTCCTTCCGGCAAATCCCCAACCAAGTTGTTACATGTGGAAATAAAGAGTCTGTGGATATAAATTCTGGTCTATTCATTTGGCAGCAGTTAGACCACCGTACACCGGTAATCCCAGAATCATCTAACGTAAGTCAACCTCATTATTGTCACCATCCCATTGGAAACGAGCTACCCAACAACAGTTTATCGAGATTCCTGTTTGGACCGACAAGAAAAGGTCAAGCAAATCAGCGTTCATGGTAAAATTTTTGAACTTGGTACGGAAATATATAAAATCAATCACATACTCATGCAGAAAAATTGGAGTTGTTGGAAAAGGGCATGTCACCTCCTATACAAACCGAAATTGTCATACTGTATATCTCTGGAAATGTTCATGGTAGAGTACTGGAACTTGGTATGGAGATATATGAAATCAATCGCATACTCATTTATAAAAATTCGAGTTTTTCATAATAAGTATCTCTGGAAGTGTTCATGGTAGAGTACTGGAACTTTATACGGGCGTGGCACCTCCCATACAAGTCGAATTGTTCTTATTGCATATCTCTAGAATTGTTCTTGGTAGAGTACTGGAACTTGGTGTGGTGATATATGAAAGTAATCGTATAGTCATAGAGAAAATATGGAGGTATTGGAAAAGGGGGCGTGGCACCTACCATACTAGCAGAATTTCATACTGCATATCTCTGGAAGTGTTCATGGTACAGTACTGGAACTTCGTATGGAGATATATGAAATCAAATCCATACTCATAGAGAAAAGTGGGCTCTTTGAAAAGAGGGCATGGCAAAGTACAAACGTACTGACTTTTACTTATCTTTGAATGTGTATATAATTCTTCTGTAGGTATATTTGTGAGTGAAATCCTAAATGGCTGGAGGGATTTTAACAAAGTTTTGTGTGTGTGTTTGAGTGGATCTCTGGATAGTTTAGTTTCACGATTTAATCCGCCAGTTGGCCTGGAGTTGACTTATTACTAAAAATCTTTTTTATGATCCGATTTGGCGAATATTCAAAACATGTATTGGAAACGGTAAAGGTAGTCCTATTGCAAGAAAGAGCTGCCAGGTGGTGCTGAGGTCGAGTTATTACTAAAAATCGACAAGTGAGAAAAGGTGCCGTAAATGTCAGACTAAATCGACCTGTTGCACCATTGAGTATATCGAACTCTCTTGTGTTACGATTGGCCCAATGGATGTGATTTTCAAATATTATTATGCGTTAAAGCTTCATTCCATTCAAACCAGAGTTGAGTTGTGCAGTGGTAAATCTCAAATCACCACCTGCCGAAATACCTTAAAGCAATTTAATGAAAATTTATTTTTTTAATTGAATTTAATATAGAAACTGACAGAAAAAAATAATTTTTCATTTAAATCGCTTTCGCGAAACTGGCTTTAAGTTATTTTATCTCAGTTTATGTATGTATATTGTATTTCTGTTGAACAAGGATACGCATTCATTTTGAAATTGCCTCCAACTATAAGATAAAGTTTCTAGGGCACATTCATTACAGATCCGGTTCATTGTTGCCACCAGGGAACTTCTCATGGACATAACACTTTTGTTCGGTTATTTACGCGGCAAACGACCACCAAACCATAGTCTTAGCCGATGAATGTGCCAGTGCAAATCGTAAATGGGGATTGTTGGAGAAACTGTTGGACCAAAATGTTTAAATTAAAAATCAAGGCGGATACATATAAGGTGGTATCGATTGAACAAATACAACAATTACTTGTATTTTGTTTTTGTTTTTAGCGGGCCATTGTCAAATTTCAGCTATTCTTCCCCGAATGAAAACGGGCGACAGAAAATGCAAACACTCTCACGTTTTCACTCACTCACTTACGAAATTCAAAATTTTGACAATCAAACGCTACTCACAGCTGATGAAACAACACCACCTTATATAAATTCGCCTTGTTAAAAATCTAATTTTGGGCGGGACGAAGTTCGCCGGGTCTGCTAGTTTATTATAAAATATACAAAGTGAAACTTGATGACAATTAGCAAAAAAAGTTCATAAAATATGGTTTTCATGAATGAAAGTGTTTTACAATCGCATATCATTACCACAGGTCGATTTTTCAATGCCAACGCTCTGGCCACAAACGTGCACCCACTTTTCACGCAAATTTACGCCTTTTGGCAAACCAAACATACGCACAAACTTGTTCCAATCACAGAGCACTTCATTTTATATCATGAATATGTAATAAACCAAAATATATAATTAAAATCGCTGCAGAAAACACATTCAATCGCTAACAATTCACTACGAAGAGGTAGAAGACCATGATGCAATAATACAAGGTGGTATCAGTTGTGACAGCTCGGTTTGACCTTGCCTTAGCTCAGTAGAATAAGAAGAAAAACGGGAAGAAATTAATCCCCATTTGGGGGAAAAATATAAAATTTCATATTTTCTTCTAAACAAAATTTGCTTTTTTATAGTATATTCGTAATGAAATGGAATAAAATACGATAAAATACCTTCTTGAGAAAACAAAGTGTGTATACTGAGAAAAAAAAATCAACTATACTAGTATAGTATATAATATAGTATATAATATATAATAATTATTAGGCAAAGAATTGTTAAAGAAGAAACACTGTTTCACCTAAGGCAGTCAATATGGCGGAATTAGAGCGAGAAGTTGCCAACCGATAACACCTTGTATTATTGCATCATGGAAGAAGACGGTGTAAACAAAACCGAAAAACGTCAAAAACGCTACGAAAACTTTTTTCTGAAAATCGATTACAAATACAACGATGGCGGATTAGGTGATCTGTAGTCGTTGGTTCTTGGTACTAAACTACTAAACTAAACTAAACATGCCAAATGTGAAATAAATCAGCATACAGGCAGGTTCCGCAATTCTCTTCCGAGTGAATTTTAACCAAAGCCATTTTGAATTCAAATTGAATGGGGTTGAAATTCACTCGGAAGTGAATTGCATAACCTGCCTGATTAATACGGTTTTTCAAAATATCTCGACCCTGGCGCCACCTAACGAGACCATTTTTGGCAAAAACGTTTCTGCTTACATAACCAGTATATATTACAAAATGCAGCCAAATCGCCCTATGAATAAGTTAGATATAGGACTATTAGTAGACTTTTCGCTGGATTTGTCCATATACTGATCGTATACCTAGAAGGATTATCAGTAGTTCATACCAGCTGCTGATTCCATTTCTAGCCATTAGTGTAGGTTTTAACTGCCTATGAAATCGTGGTAGAACGATTTCTTTTCCTTGAGGATGATATGCAGAAGTTGTAATATGATAACTACCAAGAAATTTCGTTAGCTCCGAAAGCAATTTTGTCGTAAATTGAGGTCGGTAGGGATTTTCAACGGTACCCCAAACCGAGAAACATATTCGTNAATTTTTTTTTTGTTGAAAAGGTGAGTTAGTAAATTTAAATAAGGTGCAGAAAAAATATATGATGAAAATGCAAACGAAGTAAAACAAACTATAAAGAGAATAACAAGTAAAACTATTTTTGTTCACTAAAATGATCACAGTTATAAACTTTTTTTACACACTGAAACTTTTTTATCACTACTCATATCCAAGTCAACGCTTGATTTTCGGATATCGATGCTTGATTTTCGGCGCATCATCTTCCCTTCAATAAATAAACTATACTAACTAGTTTGCTTCTACCGAAGCACTTCACCCAGTATTTTTAACATACCTACTTGGATACCGTTGCATTTAAAACAAAAAAGTAAAACAAAAGGTCAATTCGAAAAGTAAAAAAAAAAACAACAAATCAAATAAAAGTCTAACCAATGCAGATAAGCCAAAAACTTGTTATAAGAGTTATTGTGAGTGATTTATTTTTTATAACATGAAATAAATGACAATTTGTTACACACCAATAAATGGGCCTGTTATTTTCGGTCTCTGCCTTTAACATAACGTATGTCACTAGTGAATTGTGCAAAAAATTCCAAATGTCCTGTTTGTCTTGGACTACGTTCAGTTTTTGAACTTAAAGCAAATATCAAAGGCTTGCGATCTGTAAAAAAATTGTCGTCCTTCCAAAAGATAGCGAGAATGTTAAACTTCACTGTACTTAATTTCTAGGCGTGCGGATTACCCCCAAAAAGTGCTCTAGAAATGAAAAAAGTGTTTGGTCGAAGTAACCGGTTGAAACCAATTGAATTCGATAGCTTACACAGAAATGCATTTACCGTTAATTTTAACCAAGTTTTTTCGAAATTTTAATTTAAACTCGCTATATCTCAGACATTTTATTATCCATTGATTTTTACACTATAAACTAGATACTATTCTAAAGAAACTGAGTTTGAGTACAGTTCTTCATATTTATTAAAAACAAAATCGCGGATATTTAAACTTTTTATTAAAATTATGGAGGTAGTTTTTTCAAATGCAAAAGTCTGTAAAGTTATTTGCAGCTTTTTGGCATAACTTTCAATGGGATATCTGTAANTCAATTTAAATAGATAATACACCTATTCTGAATATAAACCAAATTTGAGCACAGATGCCGAATTTTTAATTATATAGACTCACGCGCCACATAACTGCCAAAATTTTTTGTGTAGTTATTTCTTTTCATGTAAGCAATATGCATTCTAAATGTGAACTTAATCGGATCATAAATACGGGTTTTCCAAATATCTCGACTCCTGCGCCACCTGTCGGCAAAATTTTTTGTGGATTTATTTATTTTCATATAAGTCATATATGTTCTAAATATGAACCACATCAGACTATAAATGCGGGTTTTACAAATATCTCGGCTCCTGCGCCACCTATCGGCAATATTTCTTTTCGGATTTATTTCTTTTCATATACGTAATATATGTTCTAAATACGAACCAAATCAGACCATAAATGCGGGTTTTACAAATATCTCGACTCCTGTGCCACCTAGAGGATTAAAACATCTTTTAAATTGTATTGTCCTCGAGTTCTGAGCTAAGTTTGAAGTTTCAAGTCTGTAGCTTATCGGGAAGTTTGTTAAATATTGACTGCAAAGATCCAGGACATACAAAGATACATACATACATACATACATACAAGTGAAGTTAAATAAAAGCTTGTAATAAAAAGTATCATATCAAGAACATACAATTAGACACTAGAGGTAGATGTCGCCTCGCCGGAAGCAGTTAAATATTGCTCGTATGGATGTACACACATATATGGGCAAATCTAAAAAACAGGTACACTTTCAAAATAAAAAGTAAAATTTTTTGATTTGTGGGCACACCTATGTTTTATATATGATTCTACTCGTAATCTCTCAATAAATCGATAAATATAAGTGTAATTAATTTTCATCAAGCGCATCAAAAGTTAGACAAGGAATAAACATTTAGAGCGCTGAAATAGAAGTCAAAAAAATAATTTGTGTTCAAATTACGTTGGGCAAGTTGCAACTTTTGAGCAAAGATTTTGAAAGCTGAACCCACTTAATTTTAACTATTTTATAAATAACTCCCTCAGTTTTGAAGTTATTTTACTAAAATTTTGCACATAACGGGTTTTTAATATTCTTTTTTTTTTTTCGTAGGAGAGGGAAATGCTTTATGCACTGGCCGGTGGCGCTAGTCTCTATACTCCCTCCCCCGAGTGTGGGACTCCTACCGAAGCGTGTTGGGCTCCCCACTAAAACCCAAACTCCCACCGCCCGCGCAAGAATCCCGCATCTGGCACCGCGATTCTGCATGTCTTCAGATGCAGGAGCGCGCTGTTGGAATCTTGGGGCTGCTCTTTTGTAGGGGCGTTTCATTCGGGTGTCCTCAGTAGACAACCGTCCTCTCGTTTGCAGCGGAGTACGAATTTCACGTATCTCGCAACTGCTTCCCACTTTTCTGCGCTGGAAATCATTATCCCAACTATGTTGTCCGGAGTAATGTCTCCGTGTCTTTCTTCCAACATTCTGCGCGAAATCAAGAAGTGTTCGCAGGTGAAGAATGTGTGGTACACGTTATCTTCGACGTTTCCACAGTAGTGACAGAACGGTGAGTCCACCCTTCCCATTCTATGAAGATATTCTCGGAAGTAACCATGACCGGTGAGGAATTGCGTCAGGTAGAAATCGACTTCCCCATGTGGTCTGTTCAGCCATGTTTGAAGGTCGGCTATCAGGGAGTGTGTCCATCGACCTTTTGTGCTCGCGTTCCAGTTTTGTTGCCACTGCTGGATCAGTTGCTCGCGCGCCCTTGCCGCGGCAGCTGCTCGACCTATCTCGGCACTGAGATTGTAAATCTCTTTTCGCTCGTAAGCGAGTAGCTCAATTGGCATGACGCCAGAAATAACAAGGACCGCGTCCGCGGACACTGTACGGTATGCAGAAGCAATGCGTAGTGCCCCTCTGCGCTGTACCGAAGACATTTGAACCCGGTATTTTTTGACTTTCAATGCGTCAGCCCATATTTCTGCCCCGTACAGGAGCACCGATTGGACCGCTGTCATCAGAAGCTTCCTGCGGCATGGCTTCGGGCCGCCCACGTTCGCCATCAGCCGGCTTAGAGCCGCCGTGCTCTGCGCAGCTTTTTCACATACTCCATGGATGTGTTCCCAGAATGTGAGTTTGCTGTC